CTTTATTAACAACCTCACTCCCTGTTGTGTCTGTTGGAAGGCTGAATACCTCATCCGCGAATTAGAAATCTGGTCCCCCACCCCTGCCAATCTAGTTTAAACCATCCTGTATAGCTCTAGCAAACCTCCCTCCCAGGATATTTGTGCCCGTCTGGTTCAGGTGCAACCCGTCCTTACTGTACAGGTCCCACCTTCCCCAGAATGTGCTCCAATTATCCACATAATGGAAGCCCTCCCTCCTACACCAGCCCTGTAGCCACGTGTTTAGCTGCACTCTCTCCCTATTTCTTACCTTGCCATCATGTGACACTGGTAGTAATCCAGAGATAACTACCCTGTTTGTCCTGGACTTCAGCTTCCAACCTAACTCCCTGTACTCGTTTTTCACATTCTCTGTCCTTTTTCTACTGATGTCATTGGTACCGATGTGTACCATGACTGCTGGTTGTTCACCCTCCAGCTTAAGGATCTTGAAGACACAATCCGAGACATCACGGACCCTGGCACCCCGGAGGCAACGTACCATCCTTTCATTTTGTTCGCGTTCACGGAATCGCCTGTCTGCACCTCTAACTATTGAATGCCCCACTACAATTGGTCTCCTATTCTCCCCCCTTCCCTTCTGAGACACAGAGCCAGACCCTGTCCCAGAGACCCGGTCCCTGTGGCTTACCCCTGGTCGGTCGCTCCCCCCCCACCTCCCCGCCCTCCGCAAACAGTATACTTACTGTTGAGGGGAACGACCACGGGGGATCCCTGTACCGACGGTTTCCTTCCCTTCCCTTTCCTTACTGTCACCCAACTGCCTTCGTTCCTAGGGGTAACTATGTCCCTGTAGCTCGTTTCTATCACCACCTCAGCCTCCTGAATGATCCTGTGTTCATCCAGCTCCAGCTCCCTAATGCGGTCTTTGAGGAGCTGGAGCTGGGTGCACTTCCCTCAGGTGAAGTCAGCAGAGTATTACCTCCCACATCCTGCAGGAGGAAGATTGCACCGCCCTGACTGCCATCCCCCCTAAATTTAAACTTTCCCGAAAGATTTGTAAAAAGTAGAGAATAACTTATTTACCCTTTTATTCTTAGGTTAGAGGAGATGGAAGGATGGGAGACACCACTCTTGTGCTCTCGCTCCCGGTCTCTGCCTCCTCTGCCGCCAAAAATGAAGGCCCCAAAGCACTCACAGTAAGTTATTATACTCACTGCTTACCTTCCCAACAGGCCCCTCGCGCTCTCTCCTGACTCATGCCGCTGAACAAATGGGCAACCCTCCCCAGGACCTTACCATTAGGTGTATAAGTCCTGCCCTGATTTCCTTTACCAAAATGTGGTTAATAAGTTTGCAGATGGCACCAAAATTGGTGGGGTAATGGAGAGTGAAGAAGGTTATCTAAAATTACAAAGAGATCTTGATCAATTGGGTCAATGGGCTGAGGAGTGTCAGATGGAGGTTAATTTGGATAAAAGCGAGGTTTTGCATTTTGGTAAAACAAACAAGGGCAGGAGTTATTCTATTAAAATTGGGGCCTTGGGTGGTGTTTAGAACAGAGAGACCGAGGGGTTCAGGTACATATATCTTTGAAGTTTGCGTCACATATAGAAAGATAAAAACACAGAAAATAGGTGCAGGAGGAGGTCATTCGGCCCTTCAAACCTGCCCCACCATTCCAATCATTGCATGATTGATCATGCAATCTCAGTATCCCACCCCCACTTTCTCTCCATATCCCTTGATCCCTTTAGCTGCAAAGGCCACGTACAGCTCCCTCTTGAATATATCTAATGAACTCGTCCCAACAGCTTCCTGTGGGAGAGAATTCCACAGGTTCACAACTCTCTGGGTGACGAAATTCCTCCTCATCTCAGTCCTGAATGGCTTACCCCTTATTCTTAGACTGGTACACTTTGTTCTGGACTTCCCCAGCATCAGGAACATTCTTCCCGCATCTAGCCTGTCCAGTCCCATCAGGATTTTATGTGTTTCTATGAGATCCCCCTCATTCTTCTAAATTCCAGTGAGTACAAGCCCAGCTGACCCAATCTTTCTTCGTTTACCAGTCTTACCAATCAATCTGGTGAACCTTTGCTGGACTCCCTCAATAGCAAGAATGTCCTTCCTCAGACTAAGAGACCAAAACTGCACACAATACTCAAGGTGTGGCCTCACCACGGCCCGGTGTTACTGCAGCAAGACATCCTTACTCCGATACTCAAATCCTATCACCATGAAGGCCAGCATGCCATTAGCTTTCCTCACTGCCTGCTGCACCTGCATGCCAACCTTCAGCAACTGTTCCACCATGACACCCAGGTCCCATTGCGTGTCACCTTTTCCTAAACTGCCACCATTTGGATAATAATCCGCCTTCCTGTTTTTGGCACCAAACTGGATAATCTCACCTTTATTTACAGGTGACTGTCTGTGTAGAGTTTGCACATTCTCCCTGGGTCTGCATGGGTTTCCTCTGGGTGCTCCAGTTTCCTCCTACCGTCCCAAGATCTACAAGTTAGGGTGGATTGGCCATGCTAAAATGCCCATAGTGTCCAGGAATGTGTAGGTTAGGTGGATTAGCCATGGAAAATGCAGGGTTACAGGGATAGGGTAGGGGCATATTCTGGGTGGGATGCTCTTCGGAGGATCGGTGTGGACTTGCTGGACTGAATGGCCTGTTTCCACATTGTAGGGATTCTATGAAAAAAAGTTGCATTTGCCAAGTATTTTCCCACTCAGTCAGCCTATTCCAAGTCAGCCTATTCCTACAGCCTCTTTGCATCCTCCTCACAGAACACATTGCCACCCAGCTTAGACGGGGTGGTTAAGAAAGCACAAAAACAGAAGTTGCTGGAAAAGCTCAGCAGGTCTGGCAGCATCTGTGAAGAAAAAATCAGAGTTAACATTTCGGGTCCGGTGACCCTTCCTCAGAACTCAAGAAGGCATTTAGCACGCTTGCCTTCATTGCTCAGACCATTCCTCAGCGGGTGCATAACGGCCTGGTATGGCAACTGCTCTGTCCGGGACCGTAAGAAACTACAGAAGGTGATGTACACAGTCCAGACCATCACGGAAGCCAACCTTCCATCCGTGGATTCTATTTACACGGCTCTCTGCTGCAGAAAGGGGGCCAACATCATCAAAGATCAATCACACCCTTGTAATGATCTCCTACAACCACTTCCATTAAGCAGAAGATACAGAAGCCTGAACACACATACTAGAAGGTTCAGGAAAAGCTTCTTTCCAGCTGTATTCAGACTGTTGAATGGACTGTAGCCTCAAATAATGTAACCTGCAATGTAACCTGTCTGCCTCTAAGGCTTTTTGATCTTTACATCCTTTCGCTTACTATGATCTACCTGTACTGCTCGTAAACAAAGCTTTTCACAGTATTTCAGTACACGTGATAATGAAATCAATCAATCGATTCACCAGCCCAGAAGGCTGTGGATGTGAAGTCGCTGAATATATTTGAGAAAGAAACAGATTTCGAGAATCTAAAAGTGTTGAGGAGAAAATGGAGCTATGGCATTGAGATAAAGGATCAGCCATGCTCTTGTTGAATGTTTCAGCATGCTCGATGGGCCAAATGGCCTACTTCTGCTTTTAGATCCTACATTTCCATGGCTGCCATTTGTATATAGACCATATGCTCCCAGTGTTGGGCAGCAGAGTGAACATAATGGTTTTAAACTCTTGCAAAATAAAGGTGCAAATTCCAATAAAGCTGTGTATTTGGGAATTAACTTATTAAAGACAGTTTCTCAAGAGCAGGGAGGCTGAGGGAACAGGTCAGTCAGTAGAAGTGCACAAGAGGTTGGCTAGTTTGTACAGTTCTGTCTAAACACATGGCAGGTTTATTCCAATTTTCTCAGCTCTGTGAGATCCTTGATGTACGCCCTGACTCTCTGTGCCACCACACGCTGCCCTCAAAGTAGCTGTTGGTGGCGGGGGGTGGGGGGGAGGAGTTGAGACTGCCACATATCTCCTGCTGGAATGTGCTTTGGCAAAGGAAGTCTGGAGAAAGATGCAGTGGTTTGTGTAGAGGTTCATCCCCAGCAGCTCCATGATGTGGGACCCTGTGCCCTACGGTCTGTTCCCTCAGACGTACACTGAGACAAACATTGACTGAGCCTGGGGAGCCATCAACTCAGTGAAAGGTGCTCTTTGGTCTATCCGAAACCTGTTGTTCTTCCAGAGCAAGGAGTTGACTGAGTGTTGCAGACTGGCACCTTCCAAGGTCCACGACAACATGCTGAGGGACGCACTAAAGCTGGGGGACAGTGAGGAAAGACCACTGTCTGAGGTCTTTGTGCCAAAGTTAAATGGGGGTCCATTCGGTTATCAGACCCTCACGGTGCCACAATCATTTATAAATATAATCTTTAATAATTAAGAAATGCCTTTGGTTGGTTTGTTTGTTTTAAGATGTAAAGACTGTATAGAATTGAACTGCTCTAGTGGCTGCAGTCATAGAACTGTACAGCCTGGGATCAAACCCTTTGATCCAACTTATCCATGCCGACCAGATATCCTAAATTAATCTAGTCCCATTTGCCAGCATTTGGCCCATATCCCTCTAAACCCTTCCTGTTCATATACCCATCCAGATGCCTTTTAAATACTGTAATTGTACCAGCCTCAACCACTTCCTCTGGCCCTTCATTCCATACACACACCACTGTGTGTGTGATCAAGTTGCCCCTTAGGTCTCCTTTTTAAATCTTTCCCCTCCCACCTTGAACCTATGTTTTGGACTCCCCCACCCCAGAGAAAAGACCTATCCATGGGCCCTCATGACTATGTATGTATATAAAGATTTATTAAAATGTAAATGAAGTCTATTTTTGAAGTGAAATAAAAAGGAGATAATGAGGACCCCCATCAGCCCTGTGCAATCGCTGCTATTCGAGATATTTGCAATAGGTCAAGGATACTCAGGCGCTGCGTTCCTCTGTGCCTAGGCTCAGCGTTTAACACAAGCTCCCAGAAGGTCCTGGAAGTGAAGAGGAATGCAGGGACTCGGCTTGCAGCACAAGCTGTAGGAAAGTGGCCGGGGTGTAGTGTTCATACAATGGGAGGCTCGGAGCCTAGCAGGCTGCCAACAGAGGCAGCGTGAGGCAGCCTGAGGGCGGAGGGGAGGGCTGCCTTCTTGTTGTTACATACTGCTCAGGACCCGCTGTTCCAACCCCCTTCGCCGCTGTTACATTGATGCGGAACTGAGAGAGGGAGAGACGCAGTCAGAGCCCGGATACAATGTTACTGCACGGGGATAGCTTCAAAGCAGCGACTCCGGGAATGGATCCCTCAGAATAAACTCAGGCAACCCAGAAAATTCGCAGTGAGGCACCGGGGGGGAGCATTGTCGCTGCCCTCCATGGGGGAACAGACCAGCCTGGGTGGGTGCTGGGCAGTAACTGGGTGTCACTCTGGGCAGTGAGTGCTAGACTGGTCTGTACTATTCAGAATAACACAATGTGTAAAGAATCACTGCGATAGGGGGTTGTGGGGAGGTGGGTTTGTGGGTCACTTAGCAGCACAGTATTTCTTTGCCTGGTCAGCTTGGCTCCAGCTATCTAGTCAGTGAACAGTGAGAATGATTGGAAACAGGTAATGATTTATCCCTGCCCATCTGTGTGTGTGTGTGTGACAGTAAACTTTGCCTGACCAGGTTCCCCAGACAGCACAGGAGGAAGATTGTGAACAGAGGCACCACGCTCTCCCAAAACCTACTGGTCGCTGCTGCTGGTTGCTGGTCACTGCTGGTCAATGCTGTTACTGCTGATTAACAATGATTACTACGGGTCAAGCTGCTCGTGGGTACTGGTAACCTACACTGGTTACTGCTGGTCAATGCTATTAACTGCTGGTCAACTCTTATTATTAGTGAATGCTGTTACTTCTATTTAACAATGGTTACTACAGATCTGTGCTGGTAACTGCTGGTCAACACTGAGCAATACTGGTACTTGCTGGTTAACATTGGTAACTGCTGGTCGGACTGGACAACACTGGTAACAGCTGGTCACCGCTGTTGGATAGTAGCCAACGTTACTGGGCAGAATGAGGAGCCGGAGCAACTCAGGTGTTCGATTGGATGGGTATGCAAGGTTGGTGCAGCAAACCATTCTGTGTCACCAGGTGAGCAAGTTTCCTTTTCAATTCCACAGATTTGAAAGGGCTGTGTGATCTAGCTGTGAAATAATGCTGAGCTAATTTGAGTAGAGAGAAGGGAACATAATCTTCTGCTGGCCTAACCTTTCCCATTATCCATGAGTCTTGTTATCTACTCAAATAGATATTTTTTTGAAAAAAGTGGCTTAATAAGGAAGTAGGGTCAAGGTGCAGGGCACAGAACATCACAGATGTTGTGAAACTAACTTGAAATTGGCCAAAGCCAACTTTGGGTTTCTGAAATCTGAGCTCTGTCGGAGAATAGAAGGGCTGAGAGAGAGAGATCAGCAGTTCCATCATGTTGGGGTTGAAATAATGAGCACGTATCTACTTCCTCATTCCTGTGTTTATATCACAAACACCAGCTTGGTTTATTGATTTAGAGAGGTCTAGTTCACGAGACTGACTAGAATGTTTGAACATATTGTTCCTGCTTTCCATGTTAATTTTATGCTTGTGTGTAATAATTTTGATTTGATTTATTATTCTCATGTGGAGCGACGTATAGTGTGAAGTGTTGTCTTAAATGCCTTACAGGCAGCTTGTACTATATAAATGCACCAGGGTAACAGAACAGGGTGCAGGATTCAATATTGTGATAAATCAGTCACAACAACATCTATAACTACAAACTAGAGTCATCTATTAATCATAATGAAGAAGATTAAAAGCTTTACTGTTTTTGTTTAAATAATTCTTTGCACTGACTGTGCCAAAACTATCTGGGTCACTGGTGACTATTGATTTTAATTTAAGGAATTAAGATGTGTTGAGAGATCTTCCACCTAGAAATAGTGTCTTTTAAAGAGTAATTTAGTATACACAACAGGTCTGAAAGCCAAAGTGTATTAGGTTGTGAGAATGGCTCTCGCGGCACATTTGTGGTGTCCCAACCTCTGGGCCAAAAGTTCAAGCCCCACCTGCCCACAATGTATTTTGTGATATGTCCGAAAAAGCTGATTTTAAAAATAAGTTTGCTTGAGTGCTCACTTCGATTCAAAACCTCGACAAATTGAATGCATATAGGCCTCTGACATTCTTTTAAGCAGTTCTTTATCAAGTTAGCAGTAGACTTAAATAGTTTTATCTGCCGGAAGAGAGTGAATGCTTTGCCTTTTGCACATTTACTTTCAGAGAACATGAAAATGAAATAATGAAATTGCAGGACTGTCGTCAGAGAGTAATAGATGACTTGGAAAATCCTTTCAAGCAGCTAGGGCAGGCACTGAGGCCTTCCTTTAATGGGGCCTTGTTACATACTTCCACCTTATTAACTGAGAAATGTCGCATAATATTTGCTTATTTTAATACATTGCAGTGTAATTTGCAGCTCAGTGTTTTACGATGGTCCAAATGGGAGTCTGTGGCCTATTTGCTGTCCAGTCTGGTTTTGAGCAGTTTACATCTGATTCACTGCTGTTTACAGGTATTGATTGTGATTTAACATAATGCAGGTCAGCTGGATGTCAATATGAGGAGGTGAGCAGTGAAAATATCTACAAAGTTTAACTATAACATCACAGAAAGCAAAAATATATATTTATGTATGTAAATTTAGGATAAGAATGATTTGAAAATGGATATTCAAAAGGATGTAAATATTAGACCCCATCACTGTGCCTAAAATTAACAGACTGCAGGCTGACAGGCCAGAACTTGCTAAGCAGAACACTGAACATTTGGTCCCAGGCACAGTCTCTGGTCGTCCATTACACACTCTATCCCTCTCCGCAACAACATGACGAGACCGTGAGATGAGTTTCTGATTACATTCCTGCGCCATTGCGGACGCTGCAAGTTTCCATCCCTGCTCCAGCTCATCAACTGCTGAAATCCTCATCTGTGCCACTGTTACCTAGAGATATGACTTTTGCAAATAGGTCTCACACATTCTACCCTCCATAAACTGGAGATCATCGAAAAGTTGCCATCCTTTTCACCTAACAACCCTGCCCTCACTGGCCTGTGCTGGCCCGCGGCTGCCCCTCACTGGCCCGCGCTGCCCCTCACTGGCCTGCGCTGGCCCGTGCTGTCCCTCACTGGCCCATGCTGGCCCGCGCTGCCCCTCAGTGACCCGCGCTGGCTCTTGCTGGCCCGCGCTGGCTCTAGTTCCACAAATCCACAGTATTAGAAAACCCATCCTTTATTTCTAATTCAAAACTCACCACTCATTAGCTCTATAATCTCTTCCAGTGCCATGGCTATCCACAGACTTCGTATTTCTTCCCTAGTTGGTTGGTTTTTATTTATTTGCTGGATGTGAATGTCACTGGTTGGGTTCAGCCATTTATTACCCTTTCGGAGCTGCTGTTTGAGAAAGTGATTGTTCTTGAACCACTGCATGCTGTGGGGTGTAGGGACACGCTCAGTGCCCTTAGGGAGCAAGTTCCAGGATTTCTGACCCTGCGACACTGAAGGCACGCTGAAACATTTCCAGCTCAGGAGTTTCATGATGCTCATGTGACCTCTAAGAACAGGTACACATTTGACTTCTAAAAATGATTTAGCTGCAAGATGGAAGAGGCGAGACTCTGGGATCCTAAGTGTGTTAAGGGTTAGGGCTGCAGTGTGATCAGCTACAATTGTGCATTTTGCAAGTACTAAGCACCTGCAGTCTTTCTGCTCTTTGTCTGATCAGGGACCCTTCCTAGCAGGGCTTTTCTTTAACAGTTGTCTGGTATCAGATGTGAAGAATTGTCCTGTTTAAACAGTGTTATTGTAGAATCAGAGAGAACAGAAAAGGCCATTCGGCTCTTTGAGTCTGGATTGCCAAAAATACAAGTCCCACTTTCCTGCACTAGGCCCATAGTCTTGAATTGCTCTGACACTTTTAAAGTACTTTTTTTAAAAAGTACTTTTTTTAAAAAGTACTTTTTAAATGTTGTGAGGTGTCTCTCCCAGGCAATGCATTCCAGACCCTCACCACCCTCTGGGTGAAAATGTTCTTCCTCAAGTACTCTGTAAACCTCCTGCCTTTCATTTTAAAATTATGCCCCCCTTCTTACTGACCCTTTGACTAAGGAGAACAGCTGTTTTCTACCCACTCTGTCTATATCCCTCATAATCACATACAGCTCTATCAAGTCCTCCTTCAACATTCCCTGCTCCAAGGAAAACAGCCCGAGCTTATCCAGCCCCTCATCGTCAATGGTCCATCCCAGGCAACATCCTGGGGAATTTCTTCCAGTGCTGTCACATCCTTCCCATAGTGCGGTGACCAGGACCGCACACAGTACTCCAGCTGTGGCCTAACCAAAGTTCTGTACAGCTCTAACATATCTCCCCGCTCTTATAAACTACGCTTCAACTGATGAAGACAAATGTCCCAATTGCCTTCTGAACTCCCTATTAATCTGTCCCACCACCTTCAGGGGTCTGTGGACAAGCATCCCAAGATGTTGTAATTAGTTGGCTCGCCAAGCTGGTTCGTTGTTTTTCCGCAGATGTTTCATTACCCTGCTGGGTAACATCATCAGTGCAGCCTCCGATGAAGTGCTGCTGTGTTTCCCACCTGTCATTTAAACTCTGGATTACCTCACTTCCGGTTTTCCTTCGCAGTGGACCGTATATGGGGTCGATATGTGTTTGCTGATGGCTTTCTTCGTGGAGAACCAGGCCTCTAGGAATTCCCGTGCCTGTCTCTGCTTTGCTTGTCCCAGGGTCTTGGTGTTGGAAAACACAACGGCGCTTCATCAGAGGCTGCACTGAGGATGTTACCCAGTAGGGTAACGAAACGTCTGCGAAACAACGAACCAGCTCAGTGAGTCAACCAACCACAACCTGAGCTACAAATCTACTCCTAAAATCTTACATCCCGACATCCCTCTGTTCCTCTGAGCTTCCAATTCTACCCTCTCACCTTGTCCCTTCTTCCAAAGTACACCACTTCACACTTAGCAGGGTTAAATCCGTCGGCCACCGATCTGAACAATCTTCCTGAACTTTACACCTACCTCCTCACTATCACTCGGCCAATCTTTGTACGTCATCTGCAGACTTACTTAGCACCCCCTCCACATTCTCATCGAGTTGGTTGAGGACATATCAAACAATAAGGGACCCAGCACTGATCCCTGTGGTACACCATTAGCTCCAGTCACGCAAACAGGTCTCCTACCACCACCCTGTGACTGCCGTCACCAAACCAAGTTTGTTGGGTTTCAGAGGTAACACAGTGTGAGCTGGATGAACACAGTAGGCCTGGCAGCTTCAGAGGAGCAGGAAAGCTGACGTTTCAGGTCAGGAGCCTTCTTCTCTTGTTGGGTTTCAGATGTTGTTTGTACACCCTGTCAAGGCTCTCTGGTTCATAAGGTTCATGGGAATGGTCCTATTGGTCATGTGGATAGGTTGGAGAAGTTGAGACTGTGTTAGAACACAGTTGATGCCCAAAATCCTGAGGGGTCTGGACAGAGTACAGAGGGAGAAACTGTTCCCATCAGTAAAGGGATTGTGAATCAGAGGACATGGGTTTAAGGTAGTTGGCAAAAGAAGCAATGGCAAGGAGAAAGCTACTCATGCAGCTAGTGGTCAGGGTCTGGAATGTACTGTCTGAGAGTGTGGGGGAGGTAGGTTCAACCAAAGTTTTATAAAAGGAATTGGATCATTATCTGACAAGAAAACATGTGCAGTGCTATGAGAAAGGGGGAAAGAGATGCAATGTCGTAAGAACCCATCTGCTTCATTAATGTCGATTAGGAAAGACAATCTGCCATCCTTACCAGGTCTGGCCTACATGTAACTCCAGACCAACAGTGATATGGTTGATTCTTAACTGTCCTCTGAAATGGCTCTAGCAAGGCACTTGGTTAAAGGGTTACTGGTGATGGTTACTGACAATGTCCGCATTCCCATGAAAGAGTAGAAAATGTAACTCCGTCACATTGTTGTGGGTGCATTGTGTAAAACTAGTGGCAGCTCTAAAACCTGATTCTGACCAGGGGGTTGTGACCTTGTTAGATGTTGTTAATTATCCTGGACATGAATATCCTCTGCACTCCTTTCTCCCACCCTGACTGAAATGAGGCATCGAACCGGGTATAAAAGGGCAGAGGTTACTCTCTGGGCCCTGAGCAAATGGAACAATCCCCTATTCTCTGTCCCAGGCTTCAGAAAGAAGTTTGTCTTGTAAATTAATGTCTCTGAGGTGGGGTTGGGAGCTGTAGTCTCTCATACAGTCGAACGGGAGGAACATGCTGAGCTGTACCCGAGCTATTGCTTAGGGAGCAGCCATACTCGATGGATGAAACAGGCTCCCCAAGTTCCAGAAAGGCACAAGGCTTGAGAATATTCCTGTTGTTCGTGGAGAGCGTGTCCCTGTTTGAGAATGCTTCTTGCTTTCTCGAGCTCATTGACTGAGATGTTGTTCTGGAGAATGCAGCCAATCACTCTTTTCTCCTGCTGCATACGTGACTGTGGTTGGGACCAGCCCAAGATTTGGCATTCTTGCATTGGCCCTGACGTTTGCAGGACAAAAAGCTTCGGAAATACATCTCTGTTTCAGCAATACTCCAGCTGTGTGCTGCCAAGTTATGCTATTAATCTGGTGGAAACTGTTCAGCTCTTTAGAACTTAATGCGTGTCAGTACCAACTGACTATCAATTGGCATTTAATGCAGTGACTATTTTAAGCCAATGTTTGGATGGATCAGACAAACTAGAGCGTTATTGGAGGAAGACGGATAGTGGGGTTGTCATTTGAGTTGTCCTCACCATCAATGTTTGTTGTCAGAACCCTGTTACAGGACTGCTGCCAGCCAGTATAGATCAGAGAGATGCTTGGGTGCGAGATAACGTATACAGTATCCTTGCGACGTGGGGCCTGGGATTGGCATACCGTAAGAATGCTGACCAAGATGAAGACAAGGCTAAAGCCTACGAACTTGAACAGGTCTGTCAGAGGCTTATTTCCAAAATACTAACAGAGAGTGCTGTTTTGTTCCCCCTCCTTTCTGTTTAAAAGCAGACCATGTAGTAGTGTCTCGTCTGTGGCTACTGAGCGATTTGAAGATAGCCGGTCATAGTGGCTGACAGTTCATGCCATTTTCAAACTGTCAGCCAGAACTGTGATAGATATTTAATTGGCAAATTCAGGAGGCTGTAATATAACCATTTGCAGGTTCTCTCGGTTCCAACCATAACCTGTAGCAATAACATTTACAATTGTAATACTTACACAAAGCTTTACTTATCAGTCACTATGTTCACTTATTGCTATAATCATCTTTTGTGGTAAAGAATGATCAGAGGTTCAGCAGAAAGCATTTAGTTAGTTAGATCGTGGCTAATCCATACTTTAACCCCATTTAACTGTCTGATGTTTGAGACAACTCAACAAATAATTTTGTCAATATTTAATCAGTTAACCCCCAAAATATTCTGATAATTTAAATACTTTGCAGTAAAAGGAAATCTGAATAATCTCAATTTAAAAATATGCTATTCTCTCCAAAATGATTTGAATTGAGTTAATTGCAGCAGTTTTGATGAACAGCTTTATTGCTGACAAAGTAACTATCTGCTCACATTTGCTCCAGAGAGTGGGAGTCGGACCTTTGCGAGAAATTACTTTCTGATTTTGCTTCCAAATGTCCCAGCTCTAACTCTCGGTTCTGAATGCCTGCTCCAATTAACCCATTCAGTGCTGGTGTCTTTCTGGTGATTCCCCTTCCCACCCTGGCCGCATGCACTGATACTGGATTCCCTTCTGTTCAATTATTGACGGGAATATGAGTCTTTGCTTCATGTGAACTGGTGATCCAGATCAGCAGAGTTCAGTACTGTGTTTTATTTCTTTCCACAGAGTGTTGTGAAGCTAATGAGAGGGCTCCTTCAGTGCATGATGCGTCAGGTACGTGAACTTTATATGTTTTGGAAATTCCAAATAAAACACCAACATTCTGGTGATGATTTTCAACTTGCTTGCAAATCTTGGCTGGTTCTAGTCTCTGCCAACAATTGATTAAATAAATAAATAGAAAGTGCTGAAGAAATTTGGCAGATTCTGGCAGACATCCACGGAGAGTGAAACAAAGTTAACATTTTGAGTGATATGACAATGAGACATTATTTTAATTTATTGAGGAGTAACATATGCATGTTATTGGCCTTCTTTGCTATTGGACATTGGTTTAATTCATGTTTACTGTCACTGTATTTATGAATTAATCCGTTACCTTAAATATAGTTCTCATGGCACGTTGTGTTTAACTAACTGGAGGTTGTAACAGTGTTGATGAGGGTAATGTAGTTGATATGGTGTTACATGGACTTCCTAAGCACATTTGATCAATTGTGTCACACGTGCTTGGAAAGTCAGAGCCTATAGAATAAATGGCAGTGTGGATATGAGGATGTATAGAGCCCATATGCTTTATTAAGCCAGTTTGAAACCTGTCTTGCCATCTTCAATACTTAATGCCCACAGACCCCTCTGCTCCTGAACACTGTCTAGAATGGTACTGTTTCATTTTAAATTGCCTGTACCTTTTTCTTCCTTTCAAAATGTATCATTTCATACTTCATGGCATTAAATTGCATCAGTTACTTGTCTACCTGTTTCCCTAATGTGTTTCTGACCTGTCACTCCTCACAGTTCACAATATTTCTGAATGTCTTGCACACTTTGTCAAAGTTTCTGAAATTTTGAGACTTGCATCCTACCTGCTGAAGTCGGGCTCACTAATAACATATCTCAAGAAAAGCAGTGGGCCTGGGAAAACCCTACCATAAAACTTTCCGCAGTCCAAAAGCAACCACTCATCAAATCACTCTGGGTTTCCTGTCGCGTAGCTGTCTTTGTAACCATGTTCCTTTCTTTGCCTGCTCCACCTGTCTCTATATTTCATCACTTTGAGAGCTCTGGATTTGTTTGCTTTGCCCTGCCCTTCCCCATCACCTGCACCACCCAAACCATTCTCTCTTTAAAGGCAGCCTATTGTTCTATGTGTCAGTCTTTTAATTACAGTGTGCATGAGAGAGATCCATTCTCAGACCATTGGAATTAATCTTCCCTACTTTGTTATTCCTACTCTGGATAGTTCCTGGTCCTTTTCCATGGTCATCCTGAACCTTTATGATATTATGATCGCTGTTCCCTAAATGCTCCCCCATTGAACCTTGATCCACTTGGCCCACTTCATTCTCAGGAAACAGATCCAGCCATGTCCCCTGCCCCGTTGGACCGGAAACATTTCTAGAAAATTTTCCTGATGCACTTCAGAAACTCTTGCCTGCTTCTTAGTGCTGTAAGGCACCCCATAATCTCAGTTTAACTTTGGGTAGTGATGTTGTCCATTACCACAATAGCCTTTTTTTACCTCTTGGTAATTGTGTCATGAATTTGCTCCTTGGTATCACTTCCATTTGTTTGATGAGAAAGTTGTTTAAAAGGCACACGGGATTCTGGACTTTACAACTTAGGGAGGAGGCAAAACTTTTTGAGAGAATGCATTTGAGCTGGTTGCAATGAGGAGAGACATGGTGAGATTCAAGAATGTGGGACTACTTTCCTTCAGGAAGAAAGGCTTGAGGAGGTTTGATTGAGGTGTTAAACCTGTCAACAGAACAGAAGGGGAAAAACTGTTATCACTGGTTAATCTGGAATGTACTGTCTGAGTGTGGGGGAGGCAGGTTCACTCGAGTGGTTAGGGTCTGCAATGTACTGTCTGAGTGTGGGGGAGGCAGGTTCAGTTGAACCTTTCAAAAATGAATTCGATGAATATCTGAAACAAACAAGATGTGAAGGTCTGTGGGGATAGGATAGAGCGTGGAGCTAACTGAGCAGGTCATGCAGTGAGAAAGAACAGACTTGATGGCTGAATGGCGTCTTGTGCACTAACTCTACAGTTATCCTAATACCATAAGACGTATGTGCAAATGTAGGCTACTCAGCCCATCTTTTTCTCCTATATCTTCTGGTCTGAGAATCTGGTATAGTCACAGAACAGGAGGCCATTCAGCTGGTTGAGTCTGCTCTGATATTCATTGTTATCATGGTTAAGTGTAGTTTTAAAAAAAAAATTGAACCACCAGGATCCTCATGGGGTTTACTGGGACTCTTCCAATGGACTGTTGGCATGTCTTGGTGCTGATGGGAACTAGGGAAGGGAAAATAAAAGCAGGCAGCTTGATTTATCATGGAACACATTTCAAGTGCAGAGGGAAACAACAAAAGCACTCGCCTATCATGAGGAACTAAACCCCTGTTCTTGAATTCTTCTTCATCCAGCTGGTTAATATCTTAACGGTATTCTAGCAAATGTCTCAATTCACACAAAGCACAACAGTACTTTGTACCATAACTCCACAAGCGAGAAGGGAGTGTAGACTGTGCGTGAGGGGGCTTAAATAAAGTCACGGGTCAGGAACCGTCTAAATTTATCCTGCAAAGCACGTTTGAATGTTTTACCATGTTAGCGGGTGCTATATCAATGCAGCCTGTTGTTGCATCTCCGACCTTGAGTTTTGGACGGGAATTCAAAAATAGTGCGGCCTGTCAGAGAGCATTTTCTGCATTTGACATTTCAGGCGTTGATTCCGTTGCTATTTGTTTCGATCCAGGTGGAAAAAGTGGAAAAGTTCAAGCGAACGCAGAGCACAAAGGACTCCCTCCATGCTAAGTACAACACCTCCACTTGTGGTACTGTAGTCACTGATGATGAATGGGGCCATCTCCAGGTGGACGCTACGTCCCTCTATCTCTTATTTTTGGCCCAAATGACAGCCTCAGGTAAGGACCTGTCCATGTTGCGAAAGATTATTTTTGACGAGGAGAGAAGTTGCAAGGCCTAAGACTCTTCTCTTGCCTCGTTTGTTCTGGTGCTTTGTAGCTGAATGGTGTTACTGTCTGGGATGTCAATGGGATGTGTCTGGAATTTGTATGCATGACGTTCGCTGAAGTGTATCCCACAGGGCTCCCCAGTGATAGGACACATACAACTCCTTATGGGGTTATTGCAATGAGCGGCTGAGGGAACTAGCTTTGGGGGGAGGGGGCCAGGGTTGATCATAGAGATCTGGGATTGGCTGGAGTTTACAAGAATGAAAGGAGTTCCCACTGAGATCCATAAGACACTAGAGACCAAGTAGGTGTGGAGAGGATGTTACTTCTAGAACAGAAAGTTCATAGCTTTAGGATAAGGGCTGGCAGATTGAAAATGGAGATGAGGAGAAATTACTTCTCTCAAAGGGTAGCGAGTGTGTGGAATTCCCGGCCCCAGAGTACAGCAGATGCTGCGACGTTGGGTAAACTTGAAGAGGAGATAGGTTTTCAATCAGTGACAGGTTGTGGAGGATGGCCAGGAAAGTGGAGTTGAGGCTGAGATGAGAGTAGCCATGATTGTATCAAATGGTGGAGCAGGATCGAGGGGCTGAGTGGCCTACTCCTGCTGCTGGTTCTTACGGATAACCTCCCCTGTATCATTGACATCCCACAAATGAATGTATACTCTCTGTATTTATAAACTAACTGCTTCCGGTCTAAGGAAGGTGTTGCTTATATAACCTCTGGCTGCCTTAGCTATCACTTTAAATTGGTGTCCTCTGTGTTTAAGGACTCTGCCTATTCTTATGTGACTTTAATCTCTTCTACCAAATGGTTGATGAGGATTAGTTCCTGAAACTCTAATCTAACAGTTTTGGGCAGGACTCACATTCAAGGGCCTTTCTTTGCCAGAAGAATGTAGTGTTCTCTGTATCAGTGGGTCACACGAGCAGCACAACTGTGTGTTGCAGGTAGCTCTGGAAGGCTGTGAATCGTGTGATGTGAATTTGACACTAATTCAGCTTTTGTTCACTTTTCCGTAGGGTTATGCATCATTTTCACCCTCGATGAAGTGTCATTCATACAGAACCTTGTATTTTACATCGAGGCTGCCTACAAAGTAGCTGTGAGTACTTGCAGACAGTGAGATCAGAAATGCAAGAGAATTCGACCTGTTGTCCCTTTATGTGGGTTGTGTTTTGGGATGCAGCATCTCCGACAACGGCTCCGTTATCGGATACTTGTGCAGTGTGGCACTGTTCGACACAGGCATGCTGCTGAGCCGACCTGGGAATCTGAGATGTGTTATGGTGCAGGAGGTGGCCGTTTGGCCCAGTGTGCCTGACCTAGCTCATTAAATGACGAATGGCATTGATAGGTCAGAGAATTGTCCGAAACACCTCTGGGCTTGGGGACAAGGCAACCCAACAATGGCTGTTGGCTTCGATTGCTCTTCGGTCTGTTGGTGGAAATGTTGGTAGGCTTATGGGACTGTTATTGTATTCAAAGTTACCTCTTTGCCAGTTTCCCCCTCTTTTATGCCCTGTTATGATCCCAGCTGATGGTAAATGGGGACAAGTTAGATCCCAGAGTGAAACACGGCTTGATAGAGAGTGAGTTTTGTTTTTGCTTTGTTCACCATGATGGTCAGTCACTGAACATTATTCCCAAGAGGCTGTCAATGTACTCTTAACAAAAAAAAAGTCAGTGGTTATTACACAGAAAAAGAGAAAAAGAAATATTTATATACACTACATCCAAATGACTTGAAACAGTCTTGCTTCAAATATCAGCAATAAGGGTTAAACCCTTTTAAACGCAACACCACCTATACAGATAGTCAAACTTCAGGGAAGAGTCATTCTGTCTCCAGTTTTAAAGTTTCATGTTCACTTGGCCTGACAGAACTTAGTTTCTCGGGCTTTCTCTTACTGATGTCTAAACAATTTCAGAGCAAATACATGGTTTTCCATACGCTCAGCTTCCAGAGTTTTCTGTTTCTGGCTGCTTTCCTCTTAAGCCACTCAGAACTTCTTCCCAGCCCTGATTGCTTGGGGATTGCTAAGACTAACAGCAGCTTTTTGTTCTGACTGAACATGCACACACTGTCTGACCCTGTGCATGGTTCTATCTGTCTGTGATATTGCACTCCTGCTGCTAGGCAACAGACAATTCCACCCATCCCATCCCTTCCATCTACTCTTGCTCCTATTGCTCTGGACTATTCACCTCAAGAGTTTTGGTGTGTTCGCCTCATTTAGGTGCATGTAAACAAGACCTCAGACAACCTGGCTACCATGAGGCGGCACGGTGGCTCAGTGGTTAGCACTGCTGCCTCACAGCGCCAGGGACCATGATTCGATTCCACCCTCGGACGACTGTCTGTGTGGAGTTTGTACATCTTCCCCCCCCACCCCACCTCTGTGTCTGCATGGGTTTCCCCCGGGTGCTCCGGTTTCCTCCCACAACCCAACAATGTGCAGGTGAGATGGACTGGCCATGCTAAATTGCCCATATTGTGTAGGAACATGCAGGCTGGGTGGGTTAGCCATGGGGTATGTAGGGTTACAAGGACGAGGTAGGGAGTGGGTCTGGTGGAATGTTCTTGGGGGGACTCGATCAGTGTGGACTCGATGGGCCGAATGGCCTGGTTCCACGCTGTAGGGATTCTATGATTCTCAGAACTGAAAAATGAAATCCAAATTACGTCCATTCCTTCTTGACGCATACGATATACAAATACAAATCAGACTTGAAGTAATCGAAGATTCTTTCTACTTCAGAACCCAGATTTCAGAATCATGATCATTGTTACTTCAGTGTTAAATACCACCGGTAAAATTGCTGCTTCGACAGAGCCCAGTCATATAATTTTTCTGGCAGAGTTTGATTTCAGTTCATCCTGCACAAACTACAAATCCCTAATTCTTTTGTTTCCCATATGTATATGCCCCCATCAAGTGGTCATCCACTTATCACTTAATTGGCCATCTAAACACAACAAAGACTTCCACTTTGGGAAGGAGGAATGCAAAATGATATGTAAAGTTTAAAAAGAAAAACATTGTTGCGGCCATGTTTCGTAGTCCATACAGGTTGTCTGGAATTTGTGACTAGTGTTACACTAAGGATCTACCCTGAATCTTGCCCAACTCCTCTCATGCCCACGTTTCCCTTCAGCAATGTCATACAAGGACAGTATTGTATTTCATGTGTCAACTTGGATTTCATCAGTGTACCTCATCACTGCCTCCCCCCTTACCTCTGAAGTTTTAATGTTGTTTTGGAGGTGTAGTGGACAGTGAAGAAGGTTACCTCAGAGTACAATGGGACCTTGATAAGATGGGCCAATAGGCCAAGGAGTGGTAGATGGAGGTTAATTTAGATAAATGTGAGGTACTGCATTTTGGAAAGGCAAATCAGGGCAGGACTTATACACTTAATGGTAAGGTCCTGGGGAGTATTGTTGAACAAAGAGACCTTTGAGTATAGGTTCACTGTTCCTTGAAAGTGGAGTCCCAAGTAGATAGGATAGTGAAGAAGGTGTTTGGTATGCTTGCCTTTATTGGTCAGTGCATTGAGTATAGGAGTTGGAAGGTCATGTTGCAGCTGTACAGGACACTGGTTAGGCCACTTTTGGAATATTGCATTCAATTATGGTCTCCCTGCTGTAGGAAGGATGTTGTGAAACTTGAAAGGGTTCAGAAAAGATTTACGAGTATGTTGCCAGAGTTGGAGGGTTTGAGCTATAGGGAGAGGCTGAATAGGCTGGGGCTATTTTCCCTGGAGTGTTGGAGGTTGAGGGATGACCATATAGAGGTTTATAAAATCATGAGGGGCATGGATAGGGTAAATAAACAAGGTCTTTTCCCTGGGGTGGGGGAGTCCAAAACTAGAGGGTATAGGTTTAAGGTGAGAGGAGAAAGAATGAAAAGGGACCTAAGGGGCAACTTTTTCACACAGAGGGTGGTGCGTGTATGGGATGAGCTGCCAGAGGAAGTGGCGGAGGCTGGTACAATTACAGCATTTAAAAGGCATCTGGATATGTACATGAATAGGAAGGATTTAGAGGGACATGAGCCAAATGTTCGCAAATAGGACTAGTTTATCAAGGAGATCTGTTCGGCCTGGATGAATTGAACCAAAGGGTCTGTTTCCATGGTGCATATCTCTACTACTCTATGCTGATCACTGAGCCTTGTACCACCAGAGGCTGATGGAAGCAGAGGCTTTGAACCTTTGTGAGATGGAGCCTCGTAAGATCCTTGAAAATCAAAGGTGCAAAAGGTTATTGGGAATTATATTGGCCATTCCCATGGTACTCGGAGCAGACGGATCAGCCATGATCTTCCAGAATGGCGGGGCAGTCTCAAGGGACTGAGCGGCCTACTCCTACACAAGTTTATATGATCACTGGCAAGCAGTAAGCAGTTCAGTCTGCAACCTTTCTTCCACCCGGAGACATTCGGGGAGATGACCAGGGAATTTTAACACATTCAGATCTGTACATGGTGATAACAGGGGCAGGACGATGCGAGGTGAAGGATTTGGAACTGCTGGGGCTGGGCAGGAGCTGCATTCCGAGGGAAGGAGAGCCAGCGAGATGCCTACAGTACTGTAACAAAGCTTTCCCCTGACTAGCGCTCACTTTGTGATTACTAAGTCTTGCCAATATAGTGTCTGGCCCATGTTGGCAGAGAGTGGTGTATGAGCCATCTCAAAAACGCCATTGTCTTTACACAGGAATGAATGGCCCTTCAGTCCCTCTGACCAGTTCCAACATTCAAAGCATAACTTGGCAAACCCAGCTTGTAAGGAAAGCAGTTCAATACTCATCGCTTAGCATGAACACAGATACTGGTGGACATCGTTTCTGAGACAAGAAATCTTGGGGGAGAATATACACCATAGGGAGAGTATTTTAAATACAATAAGTACAATTATAACAGCTGTACAGTTAAGCCAATCATCATTGCAGTTTTAAGGGGCTCTTGTGAGTGGTGATAGTGTCCTTACCACTAAAATAGGAGGCCTAGGTTCAAGTCCCAGCTACTCTATAGCTCTGTAATAACATCTTGGAAGAGATCGATTAAAACGATCTGAATGGCAGTCTTAAATCTGTATACTTGCTCACAAGAGGCACAGGCCATCGAAAAGCCACATGAGCCCATGAGAGAGCTGTTCAAATGGTACCACTCCCCAGGGAAGAAAATCTGCGGTCCTCACCTAGTCTGGCCTACATACGATTTCAGACCCAGCTATACTCCCCATTTGCCTGGATGGGTGCAGCTCCAACAACACTCGAGAAGCTTGACACCATCCAGGACAAAGCAGCCGCTTGATTGGAACCACATCCACAAGCATCCACTCCCTCCACCACCGATACTCAGTTGCAGCATTGTGTACTATCTACAAGATGCGCTGCAAACATTCACCAAAGATCCTCAGACAGCACCTTCCAAACCCACAACCACTTCCATCTAGAAGGACAAGGGCAGCAGATATATGGGAATACCATTCCCATGCAAGTTCCCCTCCAAGTCACTCACCATCCTGAATTGGAAATATAATGCCGTTTCTTCACAGTCGCTCGGTTAAAATCCTGGAATTCCCTCTGTAGGGTCATTGTGGGACTGCTGCGAATCAATGCAGCTCACCACCACCTTCTTAAGGGCAAGTAGGGACGGGCAAAAAATGCTGGTCCAGCCAGCTTCACTAGTGTCTCAACTTAAAAATAGTGAAACAGGCCATTCAGTTCACAACCACTATGAATGCTGAACAAATGATCTCCACATCCCACACAGTCATAGAGCTGTACAGCATGGAAACAGACCCTTTGGTCCAACTCGCCCATGCTGAACAAATATCCTAAATTATTCCTGGGGAAAAAGACCTTGTTTATTTTACCCTATCCATGCCCCTCATGATTTTATAAATCTCTATAAGGTCACCCTTCAGCCTCTGATGCTCCAGGAAAAATAGCCCCAGCCTATTCAGCCTCTCCCTACAGTTTAAACCCTCCAAGCCTGGCAACATCCTAGCACTGCTGCCTCACAGCACCAGGGAGTCAGGTTAGATTCCACCCTTGGGTGGGTGACTGTGTAGAGTTTGCACATTCTCCCTGTGTCTGCGTGGGTTTCTTCTCGGTGCTCCGGTTTCCTCCCACAGTCGGAAGATGTGCAGTTTAAAGTGGATTGGCCGTGCTAAATTGCCTGTAGTGTCCAGGGTTGTGCAGGTGAGGTGGATTAGCCATGGGTTATGCAGGGTTACAGGGATAGGGTAGTGGAGTGGGTACAGGTGGGATGCTCTTCAAAGGAATGCATGTGTGAATACTCTAGAGAATGTCAATATATTAAAGGCGGATGTTTTGGGTATCCTAAATGGCATTAAGGTAGACAAGTCCCCAGGGCCAGATGGGATCTATCCCAGGTTACTGTGAGAGGCAAGGGAAGAAACAACTGGGGCATTAGCAGATATGTTCACATCCTCCTTGACCACAGGTGAGTTTCCAGAGGACTGGAGATTAGCCAATGTTGTTCCTTTGTTTAAGGAAGGAAGCAGGGATAATGCAGGAAATTATAGGCCGGTGTGTCTGACATCTATAGTGGGGAAGCTCTTGGAGAAGATACTGAGGGACGGGATATATACACATTTGGAAGAAAATAGACTAATTAGCGACAATCAGCATGGTTTTGTACGGTGAAGGTCATGTCACACCAACCTGATCAAATTTTTTGAAGAGGTAAAAAAGATAATTGGTGAGGGAAGAGCTGTGGATATAGTTTATGTCGACTTTAGTAAGGCATTTGATAAAGTCCCACAGGGCAGATTGGTACAAAAACCAAAATCACATGGGATTTGGGGTGGGCTGGCTAGATGGATACAAAACTGGCTCTGTCATAGAACACAGAGGGTAGCGGTGGAAAGATTTTTTTTTCAGAATGGAGACCAGTAACTAATGGTGTTCCACAGGGATCAGTCTTGGGTCCTCTGTTGTTTGTAGTATATGTAAATGATCTGGAGGAAAATGTGGGTGGTCTGATTAGTAACTTTGCAGATGACACAAAGATTGGTGGAGTTGCTGATAGTGCGGATGATTGTGAAAGGATACAACAGGATATAGATGGATTGGCAACTTGGGCACAGAAATGGCAGATGGAGTTTAATCCAGACGAATGCAAGGTGATGCATTTTGGAGGATCAAATTTAGGTGTGAATTATACTGTAAATGGCAGAACCCTTGGGAACATTAACTTACAGACGGATCTGAGCGCGCAGGTCCACACTTCCCTAAAAGTGGCAACACAGGTGACCAAAGTGATTATGAAGGCATATGGCATGCTTGCCTTCATCGGCTGGGGCATGGAGAACAAGAGTTGGCAAAACATGTTGTAGTTATATAAAACCTTTGTTAGGCCGCATTTTGAGTATTTTGTGCAGTTTTGGTTGCCACATTACCGGAAGGACGTGGAAGCTTTGGAGACAGTGCAGAGAAGGTTCACCAGGATGTTGTCCAATCTCGAGGGCATTGGCTGTGAGGAAAGGGTAAAAAGATAGGATTGTTTTCCTGGAAAGATGGCATCTGAGACGAGACCGGATAGAGGTCTACAAAATTATGAGAGGCATAGATAGGGTGGATAGTCCCAGGGTGGAAGTTTCAATTACAAGGGTGGGGGGTGGGGGTGGGGCATGGGGCATAGATTCAAGGTGAGAGGACAAAATGTTTAAGGGAGATGTGTGAGGGAAGTTTTTCATGCAGAGAGTGGTAGGAGCCTGGAATGCACTGCCAGAGGAGGTGGTGGAAGAAGGCACATTGGCGATGTTTAAGAGGCATCTGGATGGTTACATGAATAGGGAGGGAATAGAGGGATATGGACCAAAAAAGGGCAGAAGAAATGTTTTTTAGTTTAGTCAGTGCATGATGATCAGCACAGGCTTGGAGGGCTGAAGGGCCTGCTCCTGTGTTACACTTCTCTTTTGTTCTTTTGGCCTCAATGGGTCAAATGGCCAGCTTCCACACTGTAGGGATGCTATGATCAAGAACGTTCCAAAGATTCGCAACAAAATAAACTTCTCATCTCTATCATAAATCACAGAATTATTACAATGTGGAAGGAGGCCATTTGTTCCATCCAGCTGTACTATTCCCTTGAGCCAATTTCCTGCCTTTTCCCCATATCCCTGCACACTGTTGCTATCAATGAACCCTTGTTTCTTTTGCACATCACTTTAAATCTATGCTGTCTCGGTTTTGTTCTTTTTACAAGTGGGAACAGCTTCTCCCCCTGTCTGCTCTCTCTGGCCCTGCTCATGATTTTGAAAACCTGTATCAGATCTCCTCTCAGCCTGCTTGTCTCCAAGGAGAACAGCCCCAACTTCTTCAATTTATCGTCATGACTGACGTTTCTCATCCCTGAAATCATTCTTATAAATCATTTATGCTCTGTCTCCAATGCATTCACATCTTTCCGATAATGGGGCATCCAGAACTGTAAACAATGTTCTAGCTAGGGTCTAACAAGTTCAACATCATCTTCCTGCTCATACCCCTCTATTCCCCTATTGGTAAAGCCAAGGACACTGTAAGCTTTATTCACTGCTGTTTCCACCTGGCCTGTCACCTTCAATGATCTGTGCATATAGACACCCAGGTCCCTCTGCTCCCGTACCCCCTTTAATCCTAAATGGGTGACACTTTTTTTTAAATGTGACCCTGAGTAAAAGAGTGACCCCCTAGTTTTACACTCTTCCTGAAGAGAGAACACCAACGTTAGAGAGACAGAGTGCCACCTCTTCAAGGTTAGGAAATGGGCACGATGTCAGTTGGGGGAGCGTGGGCGTGGGGTCGGGGGGAGCGTGGGGTTGGGGGGAGCGATGGCGTGCGCTCAGACAGGGGAGCG